GTAGGTAGGTAGGTAGATAGATAGATAGATAGATAGATAGATAGATAGATAGATAGATAGATAGATAGATAGATAGATAGATAGATAGATAGATAGATAGTCATTTTTTACTACGGGCACAATGGCACACATTGAAAATGAAATTTAGTTGCTCTCAAAGTGTACACATACATAACACACATTTAAACATACTATATACAACATATGTATAGACCTAAACCCTTACATATAAGTAACATATAAATATTAATCACTGTCCCTCTTGAATACATAACGGAAGGAGGAAGCTTTAGAGCAGTGGTTCTCAACCTTTTTAATGCCGCGACCCCCAACCGGTCGTAAGTCGAGGACTAAACCGGTCGTAAGTCGAGGACTAAACCGGTCGTAAGTCGAGGACTAAACCAGTCGTAAGTCGAGGACTTTCCCTGCCCGGGAGAGCTGCACATGCGTGGTTCCGCCCCCTGCGCCGGCCGAGGCATAGCTGGCAAGCGGCAGAGACGGAGCAGGCCGACCACCAGCTGGCCCAGCCCAAGGGAGGTAAGGCACCCGCCGGAAAAGGGGAAAAAATGGCGGACAAAAAAAATGGCAGACAAAAAAATGGCGGACAGCCTTGCTTGGCGACCCCCATGAAATGGTCGATCGACCCCAAATGGGGTCCAGACCCACAGGTTGAGAACTGCTGCTTTAGAGCTCACACGGTTAATACTGTATGGCAAAGATCCCCAACCTTATGGGCACCAGGGACCGGTTCCGTGGAGAGAGGTTTTTCCGTGGACTGGAGGAGACGTGGTTTCATGTACTGCCTGCATCCCATGGATGGGGCTTCGCTTGTTTGCACGGACCGGTTTCTGGCATGCCGCGGTCCCATGCCGGTCCATGGACTGGGGGTTGGGGACCTCTGCTGCATGGAACAGTATTAACTGAATCTGGATGTTCTGCTTTGGGCATGAAGCTTACAGATAGTCTTCAATTTTGTTTTAACAGTTGCATTAAGTATTTGGTAGGCTTGGTACTGCACATGTATCGACCAGTTCATGAAGACATTGCCTCCTGGCACAAACTTTAAAAACCAGGTTTTATAATCTTAAGAGTCTATCTTCTCCAGGGCGTCCTTACCGTACGATCAGTAAAGCTTAGAGACCAAATTAAAAGCACCTTGCTTTTGATTAAGCAGACTGTATGAATGCTTCGGCTGCCTTGTGAATGGTTTACATGCTTGTTCCTTGATTTGTTCCATTGAGTGGTATGTGTGAACTTCAATTGCAAATTTGGAAAACAAAACCAAAACCCTTTCTATTATACCATTGGAGGAACCTATGACTTCAGATGGAAAGTATCTTGGAGAGGTGAGTTCACCTCTAGTTGCTGAAGGTTCTGTAGAAAAATCAAAGGATGAACCTCCAAAAAGGGCATGGCTTGCATTGCCCAAGGCTTTTAACCAAGCCAGGATGATGTAGCAATGGTGTTTGCTTGATGTGGCGGGCAGGGGCGTGTCTGTTTATGCAGCTATGGTGCTTCTGATTGGAACGCTATTTATTGCAGTTGAGCAATTAGGATTGCCATTATTGGAACGAAGGGGAGCCTCGTAGTTTTCCTTTCTCTGCTTTCCTATCTCATGCATCTTCCTAAAAATCTCAGGCCCCTGTTGTTCTCCACCTCCTGGTAGCTCAGAATCAGGGAGATGATCCTGCCCAAGGCAGAGCTTAGATAATAAACCACCCTCATTCAGACAACGGGAGAGGAAGGGTGGGATTCTAGCACCCTGGCTGGAGGATCTTATCTCCCCTTCCTCTTCTGAAGACAGTTGCTTCAAGGCAGGGGTCTTCAAACTTGGCCCTTTTATGACTTGTGGACTTCAACTCCCAGGATTCCTCGTGCCTGGCTGAGGAATTCTGGGAGTTGAAGTCCACAAATCATAAAAGGGCCAAGTTTGAAGACCCCTGCTCCAAGGCATAGTGGCATCGCGATTGCTGCTTTTTTGCTTTAGACTTCCTGTGAAATAACAAAGTATCATATGTGTGTATAGCTAAATATTATATAGACAAAAAGGCAGACCGGAACCAACCACCTACCACATTTGCTAAACATTGTTATATTTCAGAAAAATTGTTCACTGAGTGGTAGGCATTCCTTAATCCATCCAAAAAATGTAATTCCATGGTGAAATATCACAGCATGCTGCTGCTTATTTCTGTAGTCAATGAAACCTTCTTATGGTATGTTGAAAAAGTATATTGGCTAAGATTTTGTCGCTCATTGTTTAGAGAACTATTCTGGGCCTCTAAGCCAGCATTTCTCAACCTTAGCATGTTTTAAGATGCATGGACTTCAATATCCAGGATGGTCCAGTCTGCACGGTGGTGTGGCTGGTTGGGGAATTCTGGGAATTGAAGTCATGCATCTTAAAAGTTGCCAAATTTGAGAAACATTGCTCAAAGCAAAACTTAATGTAAAGCTGCAATGTGCATTGCAGTTATATTTGATGCTGCCCTACAAAGCTTTTTAGGCTGAAATATTGACAGTGCTCACATATCACACTAAGTTTTTTTTTGTTAAGCTTTGGTATACACCATGCGGTATGAACCCAATCTCTGTGGCTTTGTAAATCAGGGTAATAGTCAAACATTCTATATGAACCAGACCTCTGTGGTTTGTTGAGATCATGGTCAAAACAAACTGGCTTAGCCCAGTGGGTGAATTCAATGTTTGTGGGCTACATGATATGCTATCTCTGATTAACTCCGTCACGGTTTCAGTCAATCCACTTTTCTGGATTTGCATGACATATTGAACTATAAACAACCTCATGGGCTGAGCTGAACCAAAATGTGGTTGGCTACAGTGGGTCAGCATGTCGTGTCCAAGGTAGCATATTCAGTAAGCCTAATTAAAATGAACAATGGCTCCTCACACAATCTGTAAAATAAGGAGTGCTTTCTCTAAAGCTGTTATATACATCAGTCTTCCCCAAAAGTTTCCAGAACACTCGGAAGTTTTGCTTTCCACAATTCTAGGAGCCCAGTCTATCCAGATGTTCCTATGTTAGAAAATCTGAAGTAGGTCCCTAGCTGGATAAGGCTTCAAAAGAGTTCCCAAATGAGATATTCTGGACCTACAGTTTCTCCAAATCAAGGGTGGGTCTTGACTTACCTTTCCAAAATACCTTCCGACTTCGCTTTCACGCCCCTATCTATTAGGTTCCAATGAGATACGGTGCAAACTGGACAGACCACATCACAAGGGTGTGGTCCTGAGGGTGTTTTTTTTTTTTTATCTGATTAGGGTTGCAGAGAGCTTGGGACTTTTTTTTTGCAGTGAGCTTGTTTCCTGGTTGGGCGATTGTGGCTAGCAAAAAGGAACTTGCAGCCTTCGTGGATTGGCAGATGTGGCTCTGTGACAGGAAGGCAAATGTTTGTCACACCATGTGGCTCAATAGGACCCATCTCATTTTCTAGTTCCCTTTTCGAGGCACTCTAAGTAGTCTGTGCAAGACGCTAGTCCAGCTCTCTGCAACCCTAATCAGATAAAAAAAAAAACCACCCTCAGGACCACACCCTTGTGATGTGGTCTGTCCAGTTTGCACCGTATTTCATTGGAACCTAATAGATAGGGGCGTGAAAGCAAAGTCGGAAGGTATTTTGGAAAGGTAAGTCAAGACCCACCCTTGATTTAGAGAAACTGTAGGTCCAGAATATCTCATTTGGGAACTCTTTTGAAGCCTTATCCAGCTAGGGACCTACCTCAGATTTTCTAACATAGGAACATCTGGATAGATTTTACATTCTCAAGAGATACTTGAAATATCTGTGGTTCTTGGTATTTGGGGGGGGGGATTGTAAAGGTAAGACTGGGGTTTGGGGTGTCTCAGACCGTCTGCAGAATATGACTGAATAGATTTAGGGGTTCTGTCCTTGTGAGGAAATGCAGAGTTTCATGATGGCTATGCGGGTACAGATTGGATTTGTGTGTTTTATGAAGAGCTAGATAATGCTTTCAAAAAAAACTATCTGAACATTTTTTGGGGAAAAAACAGCTGAAGGATTTCTTTTTTTTTCTTCCTTTTTTTGGGGGGGGGAGAGTGGGGAAAAATTCTTCTGGAATTGTTAGAATGTTTCACCACCACTAGAAAATATGTTATGAAATCCTCTCCACCTCCCACCATTTTAATACTTCCAGAGGACGGAGAGTTTTTGGTGCGTTTTTAAAAACCGTTAAAAAGTAATTTTCTGATAATTAAAGGGAGGAAAGAGCTTTTTTGCCTGTAACTCTTCCAATTCTCTTGGCCCGTTGCTTCCTTCTTTTACCAGAACCAATATTTTGTTCATTGAGTTAATGTCTTGCGGAAGAGGAAAAAAATGTGGTAACAAATGAAGAATTTATAAGCAGAATGGAAGTTTTGGAAGGCATTTTTCCAATATTTGATACAACAAAGTGGCGGGGAGAATTGATTTGATTTGAACTTTTTGTTGTTGTTGTTCTATTTGGCTTGTTCATCCTACTTGCAAACTAGATCCAGTTTTGATCTATACTCTTGGCTAAATTTGTTCACTCTGAGGGGGCTTTGATCTTGTGAGAAGTATAATTGAGTTAGAAGCTAGCTAGCTATCAATACAGCTGTCTTCTGCTCATGGCTTCTGCTGTCTTTTTGATTTTGGAGGAAATGTATTATGTAGGGTAGGGGTCTTCAAACTTGGCGACTTTAAGACTTGTGGACTTCAACTCCCAGAATTCCTCTGCCAACCAGGTCTGGCTGAGGAATTCTGGGAGTTGAAGTCCACAAGTCTTAAAGTTGCCAAGTGTGAAGACCCCTGATGTAGGGCCCATGGTTTCCCAACTCCAATAGACAGTACCACATTGTACCTATGGAAAAAAGAAACTGCTTTGTCATAAATACATCTGGATCTTCCCTGGTCAGCTCTCATAATTGACTGCTTCTTTTATTGCATGCTTTTCATTGAAATATTCTCCTAAAGTTCTTGTGTCTTCCTTTCTTCCTTCAGGCCTGCAGGGTGCTGTGGTCACCTTGCCTGTAGTGGAGCTGCCATGTCGCTGAGCGTGAATCTGACGGGCCCAGCTCCCTGGGGGTTCCGGATTACAGGAGGAAGAGATTTCAGAAAACCCATCATAGTATCTAAGGTAAGCAAACCAAACCAACATCATAAAGGTTTGAGTATGTAATTTGGGGAGACAAATGGAATCCTGATGTTCATTAGAAATCTAATGAGGGTTCATGCTGTTCTCCTGCTGGCCGTCCACATTATGTGGCAAAATTGTAGTTTTCAAACTCTGAGAAATATCCTTTATGAGGACATTCTGGCCACATAACTTAATTAACCCGTTTTCTGGGTTCGCACCGGGCTTTGACTCATTCTTAAACTCGGTGCACTTTTGTCTGAAAATTCATGTCTTCCATATCCAATGTCTCTGCTCCCCCCCCCCCCCACTCTGTATGACTTGCCCCAGATTGAAAGGAAGTAAGAAGCTTTCTACCCAGCTGTAGCACACCAGCTAGCTCCCTTTTGTTTCCTGCCAACATAAGAAGCGTGGACATCAACCTCCAGCATTCCCCAGCCAGTCATACAATTGTGGTGGCTGGGAAATTATAGGAATTGAAGTCACATAGCTTAAATTTGACAAGTTTGAGAAAGAGCCGTGGTGGCGCAGTGGCTGGAATGCAGAACTGCAGGGTAATTCTGTTGACTGCCAGCTGCCTGCAGTTTGGCAGTTCGATTCTCCCTGGCTCAAGATTGACTCAGATTTTCCATCCTTTCGAGGTCAGTAAAATGAGGACCCAGATTGTTGGGGGCAACAGGCTGACTCTGTAAATTGCTTAGAGAGGGCTGTGAAGCACTGTGAAGCGGTATATAAGTCTAAGTGCTATTGCTACCGCAGTGTAGTCCTTGTTTCTCATAAGGTTTGGGGCAACCTTCTTCAGCCTCTGGACTTCCAGATATTTTGACTGAAGATCCATGAATTTCCTGCTGGAAAATTCTGAACATTGCAATCCTGGCGCATCTAGTGCTCTGACTGAGAAATTACAGCGATTTCATCTTTTCTTATATATCCAGCCAAGGTTGCGAGTTGGTCTTCTCCACCATTATGGATGGTCCTGCTGGTTTGCACCTTTGTGCTACTTACACTAGCTAGGATAGATGACTAATCTGGTCCAGAAATGAAATAGAACAGGTCTGGAATATTTGTTTCAGCACCGACATAGCACTCTCAGCTAAGGTTTCTTCAAACCAGATTTGCTAAGTAAGCCACAGTTGGCTGGGTTCACACACCAGCTAAGCCAGTGGTTCTCAACCTGTGGGTCGGGACCCCATTTGGGGTCGATCGACCATTTCACGGGGGTCGACAAGCAAGGCTGTCCGCCATTTTTTTTGTCCGCCATTTTTTCCCCCTTTTCCGGTGGGTGCCTTACCTCCCTTGGGCTGGGCCAGCTGGTGGTCGGCCTGCTCCGTCTCTGCCGCTTGCCAGCTATGCCTCGGCCGGCGCAGGGGGCAGAACCACGCATGCGTGGTGCTCCCGGGCAGGGAAAGTCCTCGACTTACGACCGGTTGGGTAGTCCTCGACTTACAACCGGTTTAGTCCTCAACTTATGACCGGTTTAGTCCTCGACTTACGACCGGTTTAGTCCTCGACTTACGACCGGTTGGGGTCGCGGCATTAAAAAGGTTGAGAACCACTGAGCTAAGCCATGGAATCATAGTTTGCAAACTCTGCCAACTATGCTATTTCTGGGGTCAGAAATCACAGTAAGCCAGAAGCCATGATTTCCAACTATAATGGCTGGATCTACACAACATATTAAAGCCAAACTAAATATGTTGCATTATGGTCAATCGTGATATGTAAACCAAACGTGTATGTTGTTCAAGAAAAAAAAAATAGAATTGATGAGTGCAAATGTTTTGGTGTCATTACTCGCAGACCTAGATTTTGATTGAAATTGTAGTTGGAAGCTGTCGTGAGCCTTAATCCAAGACAGGGCTGTCATGTTCTCTCCCACCAACAACATTCTTTTGCTAGGAGCTCTGGATGGAATTTCCTACCGAGAGGTGAACGAGAAGAGCTTGACTAGCTTGGCAGTTCCTGCGCTGAATGTTTGTGGGATTCGTGCAGGACATCCTGGAATGCTGCACATTTCTTGTGTCTCCAGGGATTCCAGATTCAGTTGTCCAAGAGGTCTATTTTGCTGGGCGTTGAGCCAAGCATGACCTTTCGGTCTAATGGAGAGAACAGATTCTCTTCACTGTTCTTTAAACGAGAGGTCCTCTTCTGGGAATGGACTCAGAGTGTGGGTAGGCAGTCTTGTCTTTGGGGGTTGATCCAGGGAGCTTCCCTTGCTCAGTTGAAAGGATCATAGAGTAGACGTGCCTCCTAGTTGGTCTACGAATACTGGAGAACTGGGTGCAAGCCCAGGGCCCCCTACCTGAAGGTACCCTCAAATTTAACATTGTGTATCTTTTTATTGTTTGCAAAACTCTTCCCCTCGTTGATTGGCTGGCTCTTCCTTCCTCCTTTCTGCTCCTATGCTTCTCCGGGAAAGGAGAAAGACACGTAGTAGGAAATACTGTACTTTGCTTGGAGGCCTAAACCCCCTTATCGCTGGCAATACTGCTCGTTCCACTCATGTGTCTTGAACTTGCTGGGTAGAGCATAGGGGAAAATAGAGACTCCTTTATACTGCATTCCTATTTAAATGTCACTGAAGCAGCAGCCGTGAGCTTAAATGGACTCCAGAAGATGGTTAGAGGACAGGAAGGCCTGGAGGAACCTTGTCCACGGGGTCGCGACGGGTCGGACACGACTTCGCGACTAACAACAATTTAATTGTAAATAGATAGCAAGTTCAGAAAACAACAATGCCAGCAACTATTGGCAGAAGATGCTGAAGGAAAGTTGTGGTCCAAGTCAACATCTGTCTGGGGAACCCTCTCACTGCTGCTTTGATTTGCCAGCTGTTCAAAGACTAGGAAACCAAAGGCCTGCATGCCGGTACTCCTTTTATTATAAGAAAAAGTAATGGAATCTTTTAAGTCTGAATGCCCCCCCTTATCTTTGTAAGAAATGGGGGGGGGGTTATATGAGATGCTTTCTTGGGTTGCAGTTATGGCCCAAACGCAGGTTTCCTTTATCTGACCATTTTCTTGGATGTGACACTTTTCTCTCGTTCGTCAAGCTAATTCTTTCTGCCCTTTCTTTGAGTTTATAAATTGAACAGAGGCAGTATAAAAAGCTTTCTGAAATGGTTGGCTGCAGTCTCTTCATTTCTCTATTAGGGATGGTAAGGACTTCTTTACATGCCCGGGGGTGATTTCAAAGATTGCGCTTTCCTTGCCACATCCCTTCCCTTGTGGTGCTTTAAATTACAGTTGTTTGGAGGACGAAACTCTGCATTTGAACCAACAGTTTTGCATAAAAGTTTCAGCCTGCTTCTGCTTACACAATTATTTGTCTAGAAACCAGCAAAGAGAGAGGAGACCACACTTTAAAAAAAAACCAAAACTTTTATACTTCCTGCTCATTAATAATAATAATAATGATAAAGTTGGAAGGGACCTTGGAGGTCATCTAGTCCAACCCCCTGCTCAGGCAGGAAACCCTATACCATTTCGGACAAATGGCTGTCCAGTTTCTTCTTAAAAACGTCCAGTGTTGGAGCATTCACCGCTTCTGGAGGCAGGTTGTTCCACTGGTTAATTGTTCTCACTGTCAGGAAGTTTCTCCTTAGTTCTAGGTTGCTTCTCTCCTTGATTAGTTTCCATCGGTTGCTTCTTGTCCTGCCCTCAGGTGCTTTGGAGAATAGCTTGACTCCCTCTTCTTTGGGGCAGCCCCTGAGATATTGGAACGCTGCTATCCTGTCCCCCCTCGTCCTTCTCTTCGTTAAACTAGACATACCCAATTCCAGCAACCGTTCCTTATATGTTTTAGCCTCCAGTCCCCTAATTGTTGTCTCCGAAATTGTTGTCTCCTAAATGCTCTTTGCGTGTGGAGATCACTCAGAGGCTCAAGTGAGTTAGATCTGACTCACTCCAGGCTACTTGACCTGGCGATTAAATTTTTCTCTTTCTGGCTTGAAGGCTGATCTCTATATTAAGGAACAGAGCAGCTTTGTGTGAAGCCCAATCTGCTCTCCTCTTGATAGGCTACAGCTCATAGAATTTCAAGCTAGAGGCCATGCACATATGGGCACCACATTCTTGGTTCCGGATGTGAATGCACGGCCTGCCCTACTAGTTTCTCCATACATTACTGGGCAATGTAGAGAAGAGAAACTTGCATTAAAAAAAATTGCCAGGAGGAATAAGTGGTCCTTCAAAAGGAGCTCTTATTTTTTATGTTTTGCAAATTTTAATTCTAGAAGTTTTTGGAGGGAGTCAGTTAGAAATTAGCATTTACAATTAAACATAGTGTTGCAAACCAATGAATATGTTCAAGTGGAGGGATTCTTGAAGGAGTCTAAAAGTTGATTCATGGCAACTGTGGGCCAATCTTTGTTAACAAGATTGGATGATTGAGCTTGGATGATTGAGTTCATTGACAGACGCTTGAAGGAGTTAATTCAGCACACATTACTAATTAATCCTGAGAAATACTTAGTGCAGATCTTTGTTTTGGATGGTGGAGAGGTTAAAAAAAAAAGTGTGAATTTTCTGTTTCTCTTAATTATAATAATGTTTGTCCACTTTTTTTAAAAAAAAATTTTAATTTTTATTATTTAAACCAACAAAACAAAACAAAACAAAACATAACACATATACACGGTATATATTTTAACAGCAATTTCGTAACAGTAATCTTCTATTATTTACATTTCCCCCCCTTATTCTTCTTTGGAGTATTTGTCCTTGTTGCCCCATTATTTCTTATTTGCATTTTTCTTCCTTCATACATTATTATACACACATTTTCCACTTTTAACCTTTCCACATTTATTCTCTCTTATTTCTACTCTCCAGCCAGTCATACCACTTGTTCCATATTAAATAGTATTCTGTGTCTTCCTTTTCTTTTA